TGTGGAAGACTGGCGTGAATTAAAGTTTACAACCTAATATATGAAAGATATGACACTTTAGACATCCATGTACTGTAGGTGTGATACTGTATAGTATCAAACTATCTAAAGATAGAGAGATACACTGTCAATATATGATATTGGGTTTCATATTTACCTATCCTATGTATATCAGTATATAGGATAAATTATATGCACTCAAGTATACTTCACAGTTCTTATAACACAAAATAGGACGTTAAGATATCTTCAAGATAATATACCTTTACTAAATTATTCACACAGTAAACATGATCTGACCAGGTACAACATGTACTGTATATGAATTCAGTCATACTGTCCAGTCTGGACTACCCAGGGTAGAGTTGGCCCAGCCCGTTTTATGCATCACATGTAGCCTGGCAAGATTACAGTGAACTTAAACATACCAGTTTCTACAAAACTATATTTGAGGATATTGCCTAATTTCCTACAAAACTATATTTGAGGATATTGCCTAATTTTCTACAAAACTATATTTGAGGATATTGCCTAATTTTCTACAATACTATATTTGAGGATATTGCCTAATTTTCTACAATACTAAATTTGAAGATATTGCCTAATTTTCTACAATACTATATTTGAGGATATTGCCTAATTTTCTACAAAACTATATTTGCAGATATTGCTTAATTTTCTACAAAACTATATTTGAGGATATTGCCTAATTTTCTACAACACTATATTTGAGAATATTGCCTAATTTCCTAAAAAACTATATTTGAGGATATTGCCTGATGTTCTACAAAACTAAAGTCATAATAGTTTTTAATCATCAGATGCAGGCCTGGCGACTCTTTAAAGTCTGCCCACTCTTAATAGTTGATGAATAATTGTTCTACAGCGTGTCCCAATAAAAATACAGGGTGTCCCAATAAGCATGGAAATTAATTGACGTCTACGAAATCTCCTTTGTCAAAAACTATTGTTGTATTTATACCTAATTTCAATGATCAAGATAAAGTTTAGTCTGCTAAAGTATATTTTGTGTTAACGGTGAAAGGCTTTTTTGAAATCCTGCAAAACAGCTGTTCAGCTTGCTCTAGCTGATTGAAATTTGGCCTGGTATTTGAAATGAACCAGGGTATACATATGTCCGGGAATGAACCAGGGTATAAATATGTCCGGGAATGTCTTATTTTGCTAAGTTACAAAAGTATGCAATCAAAACATAAACAAATTCTCTAGCAGACGAAACAACTACGGAATACAGCTAACATCACTCTCACCTCTATAATCAGTGACGTCATATTAGGTTTTTATCCTTCTATCTTAGAAGACGAAATTTTTCGTACATTGGAGCGCATCCAGAGTTTATTATAAAACCTTGTCCTGCACTGGGGATTTAAATTATATTTGCATTTTTAGTTGTTTTAGGTGTTTTTGGAAAATAATAAAAATTCTAAATGGGTGAACCTTAAGTTTTGGATTAAAGAATTGAGTTTTGTCACAAAGTCTGGTTTCCTAATACCTTTATTTGTGCAACCCATTATATTGACCTTTGATATCTTAAACCATGAATTCTGTTAGATAAAATGAATAGATAAAAACAGCTTTTTATTAAAAGAAATTATGTTCTTTTTTCAGAAATATGAAGCAATTTCCCTATTTTGATTTTTAACTTTGTTATTAAAATAACAGAAAACTTCTATTCTTGGTATTTTTCTAGACTATATTTCTTGAGAAAGCATTAATATTTAGTTGTTTGATGTTGTTTGATGTTCTCAGTCAGAAAACCCTTTACATTAGAACACATGGAAATATGCATTTCCTGCATCCTACATTCTTATTTTCATTCTCTATCCTATATCCTGTAAATTTTATACTGCATTCTTTATTCTTTTATTGAGGATCCTACATTCTGTATCTTTGTATCCTTGTTTCCCTGTATCCTTGTATCTTTGTATCCTTGTATCCTTGTATCCTTGTATCCTTGTATCCTTGTATCCTTGTATCCTTGTATTAGATTCTGGATCATGTATTGTGAAACTAAATCTAAAGTCTGGATCATGTATAGTGAAACTAAACCTAGATTCTGGATCATTTATTGTGAAACTAAACCTAGATTCTGGATCATGTATTGTGAAACTAAACCTAGATTCTGGATCATGTATTGTGAAACTAAACCTAGATTCTGGATCATGTATTGTGAAACTAAACATAGATTCTGGATCATGTATATTGAAACTAAACCTAGATTCTGGATCATGTATTGTGAAACTAAACCTAGATTCTGGATCATGTATAGTGAAACTAAACATAGATTCTGGATCATGTATAGTGAAACAAAACCTAGATTCTGGATCATGTATAGTGAAACTAAACCTAGATTCTGGATCAAATATAATAAAACTTAACCTAGAATATAAATCATGTACAAGAAAACTAAACCTAAATCTAATATAATTACACTAAACTTAGAATATGGATTAAAACTAACGAAACTTAAGCTACAGCATGCATAAAAACTATTAAAACTAAACCTAAAATATGGATTATGTATAATGAAACTAAACCTAGAGTATGGATCATATATAATGAAACTAAACTTGGAGGTATGGATCATGTATAATAAACCAAACCTAGAGTATGGATCATGTATAATGAAACTAAACCTAGAGTATGGATTATGCATGATGAAACTAAACCTAGAGTATGGATCATATATAATGAAACTAAACCTAGAGATATGGATCACGTATAATAAAACTAAACCTAGAGTATTGATCTTGTATAATGAAGCATAACCTAGATTATGGATCATATATAATAAAATTAACTAAACCTAGAGTATAGATCTCATCTAATAAAACTAAACCTAGAGTATTGATCTTGTATAATGAAACTAAACCTAGAGTATGGATCATTAATAATTAAACTAAACCTAGAGCATTGATCTTGTATAATGAAGCTAAACCTAGAGTATGAATCATGTATGATAAAACTAAATCTAGAATATGGATTATGTATAATGAAACTAAACCTAAAGAATGGATCAGGTTTTATGAAACTAAACCTAAAGAAAGGATCAGTTATAATAAACCTTTTTATGGATCATGTATGATGAAACTAAACCTAGAGTATAAATCTCATCTAATGAAACTATACCTAGAGTATGGATTAAAACAATTGTATCTTAACCTAGAGTACCTGGATAATTTATTTTGAAACTAAACCTAGAGTATGGATTATGTATAATGAAACTTAACCTAAAGTAAGTGTCAATTGTAAGAAACCTTTTTAAGAAAAATAAACCTAAAATATGAAGCCTGCCTAATAATTAGACGTTGACACTTTTGATTGATCCCCTAACTTGAAATAGCCAGTTCCGGGTGCGATCACCAAAGCATTAATTTAATCCTTAGAATTGCACAAAATCTGATTGACCCTAGGATTAACCCTATCCCTGCTGGGGTACTTGAAAACCAGGATACGCTGGGGGGGGTCAATTTGCCCCCCCCCCCCTCTAAATCCCATGTTTTATGTCCAAATATGACAAATGATACATCTTGTGCTCTACTTTTAGAATCTGCAAAAAAATTTGCAAATTTGCGAAAATTGAATTTTTTATCGCAAAATCCTGTTTTATAGTAAAAATGTTTGCAAAAAAAAATTTGTCCAAAAAATAAAAAATTATACATTTTTGAAAAGCCCTTGACCATGCCATTTCAAATATGCAAAAATTTTTGCAAAATTTTAAAAAACCTGATTTTTAATCAAGAAAAACTAAAAATGTGCAAATTTCCTTTGACAGGTTGTTTGCAAAAAATTTGCAATTTTGTTTTCGCAAAACTTGTGCAATCTGTTTCCTTATGTCATAGGCTTTCCAAAAAGCTAAATTTTATCAAAATCTGACAAGTGAAAGTGGGTCAAAACAAAGATTTAGTTTGTTACAGGCAAAAGCAGTCATTCAGGCAGTGTGCCTGAGGACTCAGGCAGTTAGTATTAAAGCCCGGTTTTAGGCCTAAAGGGAGGGCTTTGGGTATGTAAGAAAAGTCAGAAAATTTCAACAGCCTCAGACCAATACTTTTTGAGTTATGTAAAAAAAACTACAGGGGGGGGTCAAATTGACCCCCCCCCCCCCAGCGGGAATAGGGTTAACAACTTTTTTTACTTTGCTTGTGATAAAATTACTTGGCTGGATTAAAAAACCATTCCTATCGATAAAGACAGAACTAAGTTAGTACTGAGAAGCTTAAAGGGACTGTAGGCGTAATTTCAAGTGACCTTCAATTTATAGAGAGGCATGTCCGATTTAAAACGGTACCCTGCCATCCTTTATCCGAACATCGATGAGGCAGATACCATCAATTCTAAAACTGAAGATTGAGTGGCACTGTATACTAAGTACTAGTGCACACTTGGGCGGTTTTTCGGCACTTATTTCCCGCTATATAAATAAGAATATCGTTGTAAATCAAACATAAACGAAAGGTCCCTTGAAATTACGCTTACAGTCCCTTTAAACAAATATTTAAGCTCTGAAACACAATACTTTGTTGGATTTCTGTATCGGAGTGAAAAGGTAGGTTTCAATTAAGTTCCAAGCTTTTTCCGTCTGGTTTTCTGACGAGGACAAGTTTCGCATCTTGTTCTCATGCAGTAGATAGATAGATAGATAGATAGATAGATAGATAGATAGATAGATAGATAGATAGATAGATAGATAGATAGATAGATAGATAGATAGACAATTAGAACTTTACTATTTTGCAGAGACAAGTTAAAATAAAAAACTTGGAAGGAATTTATTATTTATATCATGAGAAAGTGTAACTTATTGAATATCGAAGTTTCTAGAATTTAAAGAATAAATTACCAGAATCTAGATTTAAACTATTTATAAAAACTAGTTTAGAAAGAAAAGATGATTGAGCTAAGTTGAGCAGAAAGAAAAACTTGAGAGATAAAGATAAATCCGTCCTTGATATTTTTCCAATTTATATCCTAACATTTACCTTTTCTGCTCCTCCTCAAACTTTTATCTTTTACAGATCGAAAAGGTTGGATCCAATTTGATAAATTACACCCAATCACAAACACTTTTTGCAAGAATGATTCCAAAGTCAGTTTTTACACTACACACGAATATCACTTTCAAGAAGTGACTTTGCTAAGTCACCCTTTTGTGCATACACGCTTAAAATGGATTAATGACTGAAGTTTTTTTTTTCTTCACAGTTTAGACTTGCAGAATTGATAGATTAGATATCGGAGAAACCAGAGAGAGAGAGATATGACTCGTCCTAGTGTCTGGAGAAACTGCGGAGACTGAAGACTAGAGTGGGGGCCGCGAGGTTTAGAGGTTTCCCCGGCTCACCTCCCGCAATCCACCGAATCTCTTCCTCCTCAAATCATAGATTAAGATCGAGTTTTTGTCCTCAACCAACCAACCTTTCAAATACACCTTTCCTGACTCTTTAGGATGTAGGTATCCATTCTTATCTAGACCCTGAGCAAGTCAAGGATATAAGTATCCAAACCAATCTGCCCTAGACTCTGAGCAATACAAGGATATAGGCATCCAAACCATTCTTTCCAATGCTCTGAGCAATACAAGGATATAGGTATCCAAACCATTCTTTCCAATGCTCTGAAAAATACAAGGATATAGGTATCCAACCCATCTTTTCCTAGACCCTGAGCTATACAAGGAAATACGTATCCAATCCATCCTTCCCTAGACTCTGAGCTATACAAGGAAATAGGTATCGAACGCATCCTTCCCTAGACTCTGAGCTATACAAGGAAATAGGTATCGAACGCATCCTTCCCTAGACTCTAAGCTATACAAGGAAATAGGTATCGAACGCATCCTTCCCTAGACTCTTAGCTATACAAGGAAATAGGTATCGAACGCATCCTTCCCTAGACTCTGAGCTATACAAGGAAATAGGTATTGAACGCATCCGTCCCTAGACTCTGAGCTATACAAGGAAGTAGGTATCGAACGCATCCTTCCCTAGACTCTGAGCTATACAAGGAAGTAGGTATCGAACGCATCCTTCCCTAGACTCTAAGCTATACAAGAATATAGGTATCCAACCCATTCTTCCCTAGACTCTGAGCTATACAAGGATATAGGTATCCAACCCATCCTTCCCTAGACTCTGAGCTATACAAGGAATCCTTCCCTAGACTCTAAGCTATACAAGAATATAGGTATCCAACCCATTCTTCCCTAGACTCTGAGCTATACAAGGATATAGGTATCCAACCCATCCTTCCCTAGACTCTGAGCTATACAAGGATAAAGGTATCCAACCCATTCTTCACTGAAATCTGAGCTATACAAAGATATAGGTATCCATCCCGTTATTTCCTGGACTCTGAGCTACAAGGATATTGGTATCTTTTTTCTAATGTTTAATCCTTTCTATCGTTATTTCATAGAAACATGTGCTTAATCCATTTCTTTACAAAACATTAGCATATACTTGTGTCTTGATGAGAAAAAGAATATTTGAGAAATATAAAATTTATTCCTCTGATTTCTTTCAATTTTTTGATGTAACCGTAGCTACATGTATTCTATTTGAATATTAAAGACAGAATTAGTTGATTGCATTAGGGCATTTTTCTGTTTAATTATTTAGAATTTCTTTTGTTCATCAATCCGTAGAATAAAATGATGATCAACCTTAATTACATTCTTTAAAGTACAGTCATAGTACAATACGTGACAAACTAGTTAAATATAGCAAAATACGTGATAAACTAGCATAATATACTACAATACGTGATAAACTAGTATTATATATTACAATACGTGATAAACTAGTATTATATATTACAATACGTGATAAACTAGTATAATATACTACAATACGTGATAAACTAGACAATGGAGGGAATAGAATACAATTAACTTAAAGCTTTAAAAAAATCGAGAGAATTAACACATTTTATATGCATTGTCATTTTAAACTACGTACATAGTCCCCTTTCAGAAGTCTAGCAAAGCTTATTTTTTCAACGAAACGACAGTTTTAAGAGTAAAGAAAGCGTTAGTCTTTTATGATTTTTTATCCTAAAGTGTTTAGGTTACATTTATACTTTGTTCTTATTTTTTTTCATAGTAAAAATGTTAACTTTATGTCCAGGCAAACTATTTCTTAAACATTTTACAATAGTAATATATGGAGACTACATCCTCCCCCACCCCCCGCCCGACCCCTTCCCTCCACTGCCTGGACTAGCTGGAACCCCATCCCCATGGCATCTGATCATACTGCTAAGTGTACATTTCAATTACTAATCCGCCGTAGAGGTTACTGAATCTGTAGAGAGCTGAGAAAAAATTAGATTCTGCATGATTTCTATTATAGGGGTTCAGTTGATACATCACAAACTACATGTATGAACAAGTTAAACATGTTTTTTGAATCTATATCTACCTGATTCGGCTTGTGCTAAAGTACACCGTTAATCTATCTTGATAAATCTGTTCATTGTACTTTATTTTAATCTATAAGAACATCTATCAAAATAAATCATCAATGTTTTCTTGATACCATACGAAGCATACTCTGCCAGGAAGAGGGTAACCAGCAAGAAACCCTACTCTGCTTTCCATTTGCACTCCTCAAGAGGAGGACTCTTTTTATTCACCGAAAATGGAGAATCCTCCTCATTTCCTCCTCTTGTGGAAAATCCTCCTTGTTCCTTCCGCTTGAGGAGAATTCTCCAAAAGAGGAGCTCCGTTGGAATTCCTTTTAAGGAGAGCTAATCATGTGACATGGGGGTCTGGGCAGTTGCAAATATTACCACAAGAGGTCTCTAGAGTTGAAAATAAAATTGAATTATGTACAGAAAATAAAACTGTTATTGTTTCAAACAAAATCATATTTCATAGAATTAAATATTTGTGTTTGATCATGACTAATTCACTAACAAAAATATAATATGTGTGATAGCGCCATGCTCAAAGTTTTATTATAAAGATAGAAGTATCCAATAGATCACATATGCATATGTGTATTCTTGCTAAATGCAGGTTAATTAAATACATTAACTGAATGTATATGTATGTTAATTACCACAATTTTTGAAAGGAATATCTAATACGTATTTCAATTGACTCTAATGGGGTTTTGTCAACAGTGCTCTAAAAAAGTTGTTTCAAAGGTGCTAGCTCTAAAACGGTTCTCCAAAAGAGGTGTAATAAAGGTGCACCTCAAACCCTCTAAAAGAGGTGCACCTCAAACCCTCTAAAAGAGATGCACCTCAAACCCTCTAAAAGAGGTGCACCTAAAACCCTCTAAAAAGGTGCACCTCAAACACTCTACAAAAGGTGCACCGCAAATCACTTTTCGGTGCACCGCATGGTGCACCTCAATCGCATCACTTAAGAATACCGCAGAACCTCCGTTATTGGAGAATTGGAGGTTTGTTTTTCGAACTCTACAACATGATTAACCGTGCACTTTTGTCCTCTGTTCTTGGTATTTTTTCTTGCTGAGTAATTTCAAACTCCAACAATCTATTTCTTTTTGATGAAGAAAATGTTTTTGTTTAAAGTTTCTAGACTTTGTTTACAATTTTATTTCATTAAAATAATTTGTTGAGAGAGTTGGTAAAACCCTCGGGTAAAATATTTGATCCCGGACTCGGTAAACAAGTGCAATACTGAAAACATATTTAATTGCTTGGTGAGCTTATTTGATGAAAACTATATTTGAAAACGTTTAATACATTTTAATCATTTTTAAATCCTTTGATTTTCTGTTACCATCCAGAGACAGTAAGCATAGTTTGTTATATTTACATACGCACATTTTACGGTGGTATTCTTTTTAAAACTGAAAGATGAAGGATGTATCTTTGTTTTTCTAATTGAAAATTGTATTTATATTTTAATTGTTTGTTTCGTAAGTAAATGATCAATTGTTTTCAATTGTAATGTTAAAGTAACATTGAAGTGATATATTGTAAACGTAAAAGCTTTGACTGCTCCAGTATAAATTATAAAAGTGACTTGCGCATTTTTACTACAGAAACTAAAACCTTTTAACCTAGAAAAACGACAATTTATTCCAAATCATTGATCAGATAAAAGTTCAAAGGGTACTGTTGTGAATCGGGCATTTTCAGCTTTTGCATGGAGGGTAACTCTGATATTACGCTCCCTACCTCTTAAACGAATGCATGATCAAAAGAAAATTACTCTTTGTTGTCAACCAAATATTTCAAGTCAGGTCGGTGACTTGAAATTTCGTCTACAGTTCCTTTATTGTTAAAAAAGGTTAAAACTGCATCGTAAGAAAGTAATTTGTTTTTCCTGTGTTTTGTTTTTCTATATAACAAAGTTAAAATCATCTAAACAGTTTAAATGGAAGACAAAATAAACCTTTCTAATTGAAAAAAAATGTTAATCCTTACTTTTTACAACCATTATTTCTCAGTGTTTTCTATTATTATTAAAAGAGGTCGGTCATATTCTAAAAATAAAGGTTTTTGACTCTGAACATAAAAGAAAACTTTTAAGCAATAGAATAATGACAAATAATCGAATTCTTAAAAACATTATAAACATTATTTTAAAATTTTTAGTTTAAAATAATGATTCTTTTCTTTAACTAAACATATAAATACATTTCAAATAGAAAATATTTGGTTAAAAAGAAGATCAAGTGCTAGTTAGTTTAATAAGACTGTAGACGCAATTTTCGAATGACTCTAAATTGATAGTGAAGCAAGCTCGGTTGCCAACTGTACCTTTGAAACTTCTAATTGAGATGCAATGAGCATAATTTCGCCTGTTACTATAATAAAGAGACCTAATTAAAATTAATCAATTTTCATATTGAAAAATAAAAATATCTTTCATCTTTAATATGAAAAGGTTTTTGTGAATTGGACTTCAGAAAATCTGGATATTCTTGAGTTTCGGATATTCAAAAAAACTTGGAGATTCTTGAGGTTTTGGTATTCAAGAGAACCTGAAGAACCTTGATATTCAAGAAAACCTTGAGATTTTTGAGGTTTGGATATTCTAGAGAACTTGGAGATTCTTGAGGTTTGAATATTCAAGAGAACTTTGAGATTTTTGAGGTTTGGATATTCAAGAGAACTTGGAGATTCTTGAGGTTTGGATATTCAAGAGAACCTGGAGATTCTTGAGTTTCGGATATTCAAAAAAACTTGGAGATTCTTGAGGTTTTGGTATTCAAGAGAACCTGGAGAACCTTGATATTCAAGAAAACCTTGAGATTTTGAGGTTTGGATATTCAAGAGAACTTGGAGATTCTTGAGGTTTGAATATTCAAGAGAACCTG